TCTAGGTTGCCCAAACTTTATTTTAAGTTTATATATTTTTTTTTTAATTAATCTATGACAGAATCGACTAATATTTTAAATGCCCGCTCGTGCCGCGCGACCGGCGACTTGAGCGATTGCGGGTCCTCTCTCGCTGAGGGGTCTGCTGTTACTGCTGCCGCTGGTTCTTATAATCTTATAAATACTTTTTTATTTGTAATCTTCAGTTCCAGCGCCCAGTGTAAACTCGATAAGATTTACTATGAGAAAATAATTAGCTGACTTCGTTACCTGAAATCAATAATCTTGAGAAGCAAATATGGCAATGAGCATTATCTCTGTCAGTAATTGTTCGTCCACGTGGAGAAAGGTGGCGCGAAAATTCTTAACTGGTGTGCATCTTTATATTATTCTGCTTATATGTAAAGTAAGCGAAAAGACAATAGTAAGCAGTTGAATAAACGATGAAATTCTGGAAATACAACTTCCGAAAAAAGTAAAACAAACAAATGTTTCTGGCGTCTGGCTAGTGCACCCGGTTACGAATCGGGAAGTCTATGGTTCCAGACCCCTCTATGGAGAGCACTTTCTTTTTACAAAAAAAAATGTGCTTTTGCAAATGGGATTAACAGATTAAAGAGTATATCCAATTAATTTATTTATCTTATTACAATAAAGGCATAACAACGACAACCTGCAGGCTTCCATATCACCCAAGAGATGCCGCATTATTTAATCAATTATATATCCATTATATATCAACATTACACAAACGATCTATTTAAGTAATTAAAGTATAAACGAATGACAATAGGATAGCAAACGGTTTCGATTAAAAAATCTTAATAATATGAGTTCTACACTCAAATATAAAGTTTCTTTATTGAAGATGATTACGACAATTATTTTACATTATATTTCACACACACACATGACGCGTGTAAATATCTAAAAGTAAGAGAAATTGAGAAAAGGACAATTGGGAAGAATAGTCTATCGGTCTATTGAGATCACGTACTGGCGACTTCAACACAGCAGTCTAGGAATCTGACGGATCGAATCTGAGCGGGCGTCTGCAACAATGTTGCTAACTATCACGCGACTAGCAATACACATTGGGGCCTGCAGCGTCAGATCGTTCACAGTCGTACAGGCAGCAGCATCATGGTTAGTAGTTCTTCAATAGTTATAAGGAAACAAGACGCAACACGTCTTATGTTTATTTTATTACTATGAAGGATATTGCGAGAGAAAATATTGTGAGTTAATAGAAAATGATTTTCGATCCCGATGACAGACTTTTTTTTAAATATTTTATATACGCTTAAAATAAAGTTTGGGCAACCGAGAAAATTTGAAAGAGAGGAACCTTGAAAAATAGTATAGGCCGATCGTAGTATAGGCCTAGTGGGGACCCGCTACGTTAAATAATGGGAACGCATCGACGGCGGCACCTCTTGGGTGATGTGGAAGCCCGCAGGTTGTCGTTGTTAT